AGTTTTCACTCAACCAAGGGCAGACCCTTCCCAGTTTTCTAGTCGTTCAGTCTGTTTAAAGCGAGCTCTACCACCTGCTGTGTTGTTGTTTTGGATCAGATCACCTATAAACGTGGGTGGAAATGAAGATTTTATGTTTGTTGCATGAGCGATTGAACGGCTACGCTCCTGTACACTCCACTTGTATTTACACCAGTGGGAAACCCTGGGTGCTAGCATTCAGGTGGCTCTTACATGCTACAGTATCCCTTATCTAAACACTGTTTCAGATCAAGCACCAATGGCCTTAGCCAGTAGGAAAATGCAGCCAACTACACCTCAAAGCCTGCTCAGGTATAACTCAACACGTTTACCCAGCCTCCAACCTTTCCAGATCCCAGTGTAATCAAGAATGCACAGGATATGCTGGAACAAGTCCAATCCATAGCGCTTTCATGCCATAGGGCCTAAAGGATCTGCTGCAAACATCCGGGTGCCAAATACCAAAGGACACCTTGTCCTGTGTTCCTACTGTGACAGGTCATTACGAGGATCCAAACCGTACATATAGACCAACAGAATTTAAGTCACTAGTTCTGTAATCACCATTAATGGCTGCAGCCTCTTATTAAACAGTCGACAGTCATGTTAGTCACCTTGTGACGCTGTACTTAGACAAGAGCTATGCTTTAGGCTAAATCATATTCATAATGACAGTGTTTTTACCATCATAGTTTATCATGTTAGCACACGATCACAGTCATTATTAATCATTAGTAGAGGATTAACTGACAAACACTATTCCTAAAAACATTGGTAGAAAGACTTACACAGTGAAAAAGCATTCTTTGAGTCTACAATTGTACTTGAGCATGTTTATTTTTAATATGTTCAAGTCATAAAAGTGAACTTGTAGATGTTGCTGGTGTATAGTTGCTTTATTCTCCTTTACTTCAAAGTGTCGACTCCTTTCTCACTTACACTTATCTTGCACTAAAGGGTTTCTTACATGGGGAGTGTTTATCACTGGACACATGGAATCCAAGTGTGAAATCTTCTTATTCAAAAATAGTTTACCCGATCATAAAATAATCATATCTGTAACTGTACACACTTGTTCTGTTTTGTCCTGAAGGGAAGACATCAGCTAACAGTCATGATAGAAAATGATGATGCACCCTGTGGGGAAAAAAAAAACTTTGAGTCCTTAAATAGAGAAACAAACAGCCTTCGAATCCAGAGATAAGCAGCTTTATAGTAAATCCCAATGAAAAGGGAGCCACAGGGAGGAAAAAAAAAAAAAAACTCAGCATGCGATTAGGACACAGAACACGGCGCCCTACATCACTGACCTGGTAGGTTAAAGGGCTGAGATATAGACATAGAACTGATCTAAATAAGCTTCACAATCGTTAATCAGCACTTTGCATTTGACTGTTCTGTGTGCTATGCTCCACGAAAAGGGCTTTAAATAAAGACAAAAACTGAAAAATAGAGCTTTAATCATTAGAGGGATAAATATCTATTCATTTAAGATCGGAGGCTTTGATGTGACAACAGATAAAAATGGATGCTGCTGATTGTGCTGCAGGGCCGGAGAGCAGAGCATCTGAGAGACACACTGTGTTCTCTGCAGTCGGCACGTTGTGGGCGCCAGTCACAACAGTGGCTCCCCGGGCAGAGGCCACCCCGGCGTGAACCCCCATCCAGCACACGCTCCAGCCAGACACGTGCATGTCTCCACCGCCTCAGCCTCAGCCTCAGCCAGAGATGCTGACCTGATGTGGTCTGTGCGCTGAAGCAGCGCCCTGATCTGCTTGTATTTTTACATCTAGTGACCTTAGGACACCTTCACAGGGTGTTTGAGCACAGAAGAAATCCATACGGTGCGTCATGGGTGCATCTCAATGATAGCAACATGCTACCATGTATATTAATTACAGCTCTGCAAGATGATGTTGTATTCATTTAGCCGGCCGGTCTGGACGGTAGGCCATCAGAACAGTTTGCAGGTTGGACCTACAGCTTCAGTGATCCTCTCTTCCACATCGAGAACTTGTAAATAATGATGCTTCGTTTTAATTCATTAAACATGAAACATTCAGGTGTTGTTTCAGGCTCAATGAAATGATAGAAAAAGATGAATGCAGCAAAAAAACTAAAGCGAAAATCCTGTAGTAGCTGAAGAAAGTAAATGATGAGAAAACACTTAAGGATACACAATAATTTACAACAACATATCAATCTAATTTAATTTTATCCTCACTTGAGTGGTGATAAAACATGCTGATGTCTTATTAGTCGTCTTTGATCAGTTGCAGCACACCCTCCATACACTCAGATAGAATTGCATGTTTATATATTTATTGTAAAATCTAACATAAGAATTTTTAAATTTTCAAATCTGAATGAAAGAAACAAGTCATTTTAAGTTACATTTTACAGCAGTATGGTTAAGACACTTGTTACCAAGGGCGCAGGTTTCATTGGATTGCATTGAGCTGGACGTTTTGAACATTAAATTGCTGTTAGGGTTAGGGTTAGGTTTTTCAAATCTGTCTCGATAACTTCCCCTGCCGTGTCCGACGACAAAGCGGTTTGGGGTAGGAAGCAAAGGCAAGGCACTGGCCGTCGCACGTCTTCATTGCTCTCCGTTCACCTTGTTATAGGTTAGTGTCATCTTGTAAACCACTAGGGTGTTAGATTTCTGACATGTTTTTTTGGTTAGGGTTTGGTTTTGGAATTGGTAAAGGGTTAGGGTTATTGGTAAACCACAAGTATCAGAAATGTCTTTGTTCATGTAAGGGAAAACCTAAAATAAAGGTACCAGGTGACGAATCAAAATATAATTGATCTAATTTCATTTTTGATTATAGTTATTTTATGAGCTCATAATTCACGTGTATATTTTTCAGTGTAAAGAACGACCCAATGATGAAGGAAAAAGGAGGAATTGTTGCACCTATCAGCAATGTTATAGCAGATTTATAATATAAAAGTCTCATCAGGGCAAATGCACTTCTAAATATTCTAAATATTGAGGGAAACATATCTCCTGTGTTATCCCTCTACACTTGTTATAATTTTTATATTTAGATTAAGATCTCAAGAAAGACCTGAAACCAGCAGAGGGAAAAACAAACAGGGCCAGACATTTAAAAAGAATGACAAATACTTATAATAAATACAGTCAAATAGACAAAGGCACCTACCACATCATCCACTGGGGATGAGGATTAAAATCCTCTTTAATTAATTGCATTTAAAAGGTGCAAAGTGGTGGAGGCTTTACATACCCGAGGGGAAACTAGCATTAAGTGAGCTTGAGTTAAGTGGACCTCTGCTTTGGTGGGCAATGGTTTTAAATGCAACTAAAGAACTAAAATGCTCAAACTGACCTTGAAAGAGACATTTAAAAATAAAAAATGACACAAATAGGTAGGGAAGACTTTGTTCAAAACTTTTATTTAGAATATAACGCAGCAACAAAACAAAAAATGTTCTTCCTCCATGAACTGGACCACATACAGAACTTTCTGATAGAAAATCACACTACTTCATAAACTGTACATCCCCACGACACGTCATACAAACATCATTCAAAACAATATTTCCTCATTATTGCACTGCTCTGTCTTTAATAAGGTCATGATTAACATACAATGTGACACACAGAGGAGCAACAAAGCCTCCTATTGACGTACAGAACAAAGATTTTTCACGCTCACACAAGTCGAGCATATTCGTTTTATTGCTCTTCTCTGAGATTGTGAACTCAGTGACTGGATTATAAAAGGCGACATTCATCTGAGACTGAGCCTCACGGTCCTGTTGGTGAACCTGCAGCTTTTAATTCCTCCTAAGAGCTTCCTTCTCCTTCATGAACATCTACCATCGCATCCATATAGCTTCACTTGGTTTTGAGTTTTAAGGGCCACGTCTGTAAGTGTAATCTGAATCTTCTCTAAACTTGTTAGATATTAAAACAAAGGGTCTGGAACCGCCTGCCCTCATCCCACATAACGATCCTCCCATCCACATTCCCTACCAATGACCTGATCCCCATCCCTTTTGTTTCTGCGGCTCAGAACCAGGCCGATGTTGGTGACGCATCACCGCTCCACCAATAGGCGCCCTCCGTTAGGGGTTGTGTCCTGATGCTAGCATCACTGAGACGCCAAAGTGAGATTTTTGCCCAGTGACGCGCGACGGGGAGGGCGAAGGGGAGGAGCTTGCGGCGTGGGGCAGAGGGGCACGTGGCGCCCAACGAGGTCCCAGGCTGTCACAGTGCATCCCGTCAGTCTGAGAACAGGCATGCGCACACTTTCTAACCTCAACACCCTGCAAGAGAACGGGAGAGCGTGCAGAAAAACAGTCGCCAATCTGCCTTGAACCTGTTCTGTGTCGCAGGGGGAGGTGTGAATCAAGCCCCAAAATGTTTGTTTTGTATGGCCAACATGTCAAGCTCTGCCATACTTGACTTATACACAGGATGCAGCTGATAAATATAAACCTATGTAACAACATGAAGAATGTGCTGGAAATACTTCTGCCCTCTATGAACCTCAAACCAGCCCTCTGTCCATCTTTTGGTTTCCAAATCTCTCTAATCCAAGATTCAGCAAAGACGTCAGAAAAACGTCTTCTTGGCCCTGAAAGACTCGATAACGTTCTCCTCACACCTCGACTTTCATTCCCAAACATGCCACAAAGAGCCATCTATGCTCAAATGCTTCCAACTCAAGACACCTACACAACCACATTTATGCAAATTCACTATAAATTTGGGTTTGCGTGCAAAGAGGGCACACGAACAGAAAGGAAAACATGCCGCCTCATTTAAAGGGAACCATAACGTGTGCAACAGGCCGACCGCATCCTGTTGCGTGCGGATGACGCCGCAGATTCTCTAACGCAGGAAATATTGTAGCAGCTCTCAGCGCCAACGTCACAAAGGTTTTAAAGCCAACTCAGAGGCTGCGAGTTAATGTTCAATAAGTCAAATACTAATCGACTGTACATATCTTTCAAAATATTCACAGCTTTATTAAATCATTACAAAATAAAGTAATACATTCATTCATCAATAAAAACAAGACAGACACATGAACTGATTAAAGGTCACACCCCATGCATTTCAGTAAAGTTAAATGTTTGCAGAAAAGGGTTCTTAACCAGGGTGCTTATCAAGGTAGTCAGACATACAGGACTTCATACATTAATGTTAAAACAGTGAAATCACAGGAAAAACAAAAAAAAGATAAAGTGAGTAAGTCCCTTTGCAAATTCACTGTAGTATTTAAAAAGAATCCTGCAGTTTTGTGCAAATATTCACTGAATCTCAGACACCTGACAGATATAGTTCACATGTGTAGATATATGTTGTTGAATACAGCCCCTAACCTGTTCAGAAGGCTCTGCAAGATTCTCTTGCTGAAGGAAACAAAAAAAACTAAAAAGGGTTGAGCTAACTTTTCATCCCCTTTAACCATGTTCTGGGCCTGCCATCACTTCGTTACAAGGTACATCTCAATTGTGGTCTGCCATCCCTTAATTAGGCATTACTGTTATTTAACTATTTGCTTCTTTCCTTTATTTAATTCAGAAAATGGCATCTTGCAAGCATGTACCGTTGTAACGACTAACGTTCAGACCCAGTCGGCTGGTTTTGATCACCCACCCAAACCAGACTATAAAAATCCGTCCTATCCATGACTCAGAGCGAGCCGTCCCCGCAAATCCCTGAAGGTCCTGGCAGCAGAACGTATAGAAAACACTTAATTGCAGTCCTGACAGCTCTTCGGATGGTGAATGAGGGATCCCAGAAATTTCAGTGTCTGAGTGTGAGTATGACTGTGAGGTGAGAAAAGTGCCGAGTCCTGAGAGACACTGCTGCGTCTCCACTTCTGCCTCCTCGCTCCACCTCCTTCACTTCTCATTGGTTCGTCCATCGTCTCCACGATCAAGTCACTTCAGGGTGCAGGCTGGGCTTGGACCTTCTCCGTCATCTGTTTGGCGCTGTAGTAGGACAAACTCAGGCCCATGATGGCCAGCATCATGGCTATCTGGTTGACGGCGCGGTCTTGAGGCTGCGTCTGCACCTCACCTGCAACTTGCCTCTGCAGAGACAAAAGCAAGCAGGACAAACAAAAAAGGTCAGAGGTCAGCCGGCAGTGAAAACAATGCCACAATGAAAATGTTTGCAGTCAACAAAGATGCTCCGCCCTGATTGGTCAAACCTGTAAACAAGCAAGCATTCACAACATATTCTTTTTTCTGCAACTTGAGTTCCACAGCGCTGGGCCATGTGACCAAACCTTAGGCACGAACCGAGATTAAATATTCAAGAGGGGAAGAGATTTTGGTAAAAGGGGAACACAGTGTCCTGTTCTGAATCCGACTGCTTTTATAGAAGGCCTGCCTACATTAGATCTCAACACAAAGCCCCCACCCTGCCGTTTACGAGCCCTGGAAGGCCTGAAACAACGAGAGAGGAATGTCAGGATTTTAAAAAGTTCAGACATCTGAGACAACTGTTCACACGCCTTCATTTAAAGACAGCAAAGCGAGGGAAGATGTCACCTCTGGCTAATCTACAAGTAGCCAGAGCCAGCGTTATAGTTTTAAAACACTTTAAGGTTATGATTTTATGTTTCCACAGAAAACATTTCCAACAACTACCATTAAAAGGTTTTTTTTGCACATCTTTATCAGATATTCATCACCCTGGGAGTTGAGGTCAATTGATTTTCTCCCCCAAGATATTTCTCAGGAGCACAATCTGAAATGTATAGTAGCATGTCTAACTGGACATTGAAATCAGCTGCAAATTAGTCCTTTGCATCTTAAGAATCCATTTTAAAAAAAGCAGAACTGCTGTTGTGCTGCTTTGCCAGTTGCTGCATCCTTGGCTCATGCCAAGTTTGCTATTTTCCAGAGTGATTCAAACTTCTGAGGAAATGTGTCACAGAAACACAATATCCATCGAATGCACAAGAACGAGGAACCAGTTAACAACATTGTGCCTGTGCTGACACGCTAAACTGACAACTAATCTGGGTACTTTTACGATCTCCACTACAGTTACTCTGCATTAAACGAGGCAAATTTCCTGACGCGCCACTGTGTCAAATCTTACGTAACACCAAGTCACTTTTCTCCGGTCTGTTAAACTTTCGAGCCACTGTAAAGCCATATGAGGGGGCAGCCTTTGTCTCCAAATTAGTGTAAATAAGCGAACAAAGGCTTTACACAATGGATGAGACATATGGAGGGTCACTACCAATGAGCGGATTATGATGACGGCCGATTGAACAAAAGAAGTCGAGAGGAAGTGATATTACAATGCTTAGTGTCACCCTTAATTAGGCTGGCGATGACAGCAGATTGTGGGTTACACAACAAGCACTGGACCCCTTGTAAGTGTACACGAAATACGAGGACCATACTGACGGACAAGATGACAGCAAAAACACAATTTAGCTAAAGTGAAAGTGAGGCCTTTGAAGCTTCTTGCAAAAGCAGCAAGAATTTAAACTCCACGTTGCTCCTACAGCAGGCTCAGTGGAGATTAGAGATAATATGCAATAGATGGCATTCGTTTTGCTCATCGGGAACAGTTAGAAAATGGAAGAAATGAAAATTTGTGGTGACACTGCACATACCTGGAGGAGGCGGAAGTATCCAGGGGTCAGTCTGCCCAGTCTGATGATCATGTCTGCAGATGTGGTGTGAGGCAGGTCACAGCTGACGGAAGAGCCGGGCTGGTTCAGGACCTACGAAGACAAGAAAGAAAACATCTTTAAAATAATTCTGTTTTAAGAGGTGCAAATTGAGGCGTTACTCAACTTTCATAAATGCACCAGATATAATGAGCGGTCGGAACTTCAATAGAAAGCATTGCTGCCAAAAAAAGGAGGAGAACCCTGCCGCCGGCTTGCACATAAATCAAAACCATCTGATCCGTGCATGAGGAAGGATCATCCCTCGCCTTGAGCCATGGCACAAAACTTGGCTGTGTGCAAAATCCAGTATGAATGCCATGCAGAGTGACCCGATAGTCGGTGTTACAGTCGTTTGAGATTTGTCTTTCTTGATACAGTTTCTTTTGATTTCACGCTTTTCGCCAGGAATGCTCCCCCGACCCACCGCCTGTCATTAGATTATCATGTTTGAACCAGATCTGGGCCAGATCAACAGAGCCTCTATTCATGCTGCGTCATGAACTGACACAGCAAAGACAAAGGCAATTTCATTCATTCGCACATGGACAACCCCGCATTGTAATTGATTAAGAACTGGATGGACACAAATAGTTGAGGAAGAACATCAAAGCTAGAAGGATGTGGAGGGACAGCTGTCTGTTCAACCACGATTTAGAATCAAAAAGTTCCAGAGAGAAGGAAGAGGTAGAGCGAAACCAGGATTTAACATTTTACAACCGGATCCTATACGGTTGCAAGGAATAGGGAAGGTAGATATGAGCTTATCCAAAAAACGCATTTCAGCAGAAGTAGATGATGCACAAAAGGTTGCACATTACAACACAAACCCCAAGTGTTTGCTTCAAAACATAAGACACTACTGGGGCAGGAAAGATGATGAATGTGATGAATAAGGTAAAACATATGTGAAGCACTGACACATCTACCTGCTTGGAGTTACACCCCTTACGAGAAAAACAACTGTTACCCAAGACCTTAAAGTCGCTGCTTCCGTCAAAAAGTTCGTCGTGAAAACAGCTTGGGCTTTCTCACCTTCCAAAAATAGCAGAAAAAAAGTCAGTCCGACCGGCCAGAGGGACCGTCTATTTCCCAGCCACGCTAAAAATCCTAACAGATGCCAAACAGGGATGAACTTGAACCACTGAGAGGAAGCTTCTGCGTTGCGCTCCGCCTTTTTATACAGCCCCGCTCTCGCCCAACCAGATCTGCAGGCTCGCCGACCGCACACGCCCACTTCTCCGACACATACGCACCGCTGTCGAAATGCATTACTCTCAGCGGGCCGCGTTCCCCAAACACACCCATTCTCGCCTTCTTCCAAAACCACAAAGTGTCGGATACGATTTGCTCATACAGTCAACAAAAGGTAAATTAGGAATAATAGAAAAACAAAAACACAGCAGGGACCGTACATTCTCAGATTGCATGTCAGGGTTGCGTAACAATCATGATGAGTGTATTTAATCTCAAACTGGGGCAGAAATTAAAGGTCACCGAGCGCCATCGAGAACCTGAAAGCACCATGGATTATAAACCTGGGACAATGATGCCCTCTCAGTAACACTTACAGATTTTGGGTTTTAAATCGCTCCGTTGGCTGATTATATAACCCATTTCCATTCCACTGAACGCATCGCTGCAAAGAGTGAAACAAGGTGATGTTTACAATCACGCAACCCGAGTTCTTAGATTATATGAGCTCCACAGGGCCTGAAGCTGGTTTTAACAAGCTTTTGGTTTGAGATTTGTCAACCAAAATATGCCAACCTCTTACAGTGAAGCTTTAGTTGCACCTTGAACTCACACACTACAAAAGTTTGGCGATTTGTGTTCACCAACAAGGATTTACAACAAGGTAAGCTCATTATTGGAAGACTTCACAGCAGCATGATAAGGAGATTAAGCTGAGCATCGGACTCCCAGCAAGTCGCCAGCTTCTGATAAAAGTTTTGATTTTATGCTTAGTAGAAAAGTAAAGACTTAAAGACTATCCCGCCTTTCGGTATTTGTAGAGGAATTAAAGAGAAAAGAAAAAGACAGATTACAATGGATACCTGAGGCTCTTTTACAATCAGCCTCTGTGATCAATTGCTTGTCTAATGGTTGGTTTGCTACAAGTCATTACCTGCACCATGTTGTGATTCAAACAGGTGTGGACACAACACAAACTATTCTTACTATGACAGGATTTTTCAAAGTGATTGGCATTTCTTACAAGACAATGAAAGTTTACCACAACTCACTGACCAAAACATCTGGATGAGAGTTTATTTTTAAAAAAAACAAACTGAAGCTTCATGGGTCCCTTATGTTTAAGATCTATTTGTTTTCAAGTGTTTCAAACAAGACAAGTGTGAGTAGTGATGAGTCGTTAGAGCAGTATTCATTACATGGCACCTTTTGCGTCATGTTGTCTTCCTCAGCCAATTAGTCGACTGTACAGACGCTGCAGATTGTGTGAATGCTTCGGCCGTGCTAACGAGCTGAGCCTACATACTGTCATCGGCTCAGGTATCATCTGCCGTGAACTAGTCACGGAAACAATGAACTCGTCCGGACATTGTGCCATACTGCTCTCTTAAAGGAGCCATCCACGGAATTTACACAGAGTTTAGTTTCCGTGCCTGGAAAACTGTTCTCTGGTCTAAATTGAGTTTTATTGAGTTAACAAATATCAGTTTTTCGGGATAAGAGGGCTGAAAGATGTGAGTGTTTACCATGAAAGTGGGTCTTTTAAAAGATGTTATTGGGATGCATTATGGCGGTTGTAGGATCTGACACTTTAAGTTTGGCACATACCGACTCAAGCCTTAACATCTTGTCCTCTGCTGCTTCAAATCTGACCGGTCTTTTCAAAAAGCTGCTTCTGACAAAACTACTGATGAAAACGTGCATAATAACCAACTGCAAGCGTGTTCCTTTTGGGTTTGTTTCTGATGGCTAACTAGAGCTTCAGTAGCTTATTAAACTACTGAAGTGATTCTGCAGGACTTTCATTTGCTCATTTGCTTGTGCACAGGGCATGGGAGCAACACTGTCAAGTCGCCAGTCAAGGCAACTTCCCTATGCGGCAAATTCTCACTAGCAGCTGATTTTGCAGCTGACTCAGTGTTTAGGAGTGGTCCAAACACGCACTGGCTGGAGTCCAAGTGAATCACCTGTAAAGCATTCAGGTTTGACATTAAAATAGGGCGTTTCCCATTCGTGTATCACTTGTGACATCTCAGAATCACCAGCTGCACACAGGCTCAATTAGTGGTAGACAAAAGTTCTGCGCTTCGCCATCCTGGGCTGTTGTTTCCTTAATGGCAAAAGCGAGCTCAGCCTAATCTGTAGGGGGGGAAAAAGGTGCCGCCTTTCCTTTATTAGATGCTGTGAATAAACACAAAGAGGTCGAATCCATTCGTTTCATCTCCCCCACAGAGATAGTTAAGAAAACCTGAAAGATGTCAATCAGGATTAGCTTCACAAATGCACCGGGGTCCATGAGCGTTTACTGGGTACACCGTGTACTCTACCGCGAACAGCCAATGAAATTCCGTCAATAGTCCTTTCTTCCTCTGTTGGACCCGCCTCTTTGTGTCACATTTTACTCCCCGCTGGAGCTGGATCTCCCCTACAGCAGGGGATCTACGGCGAGCCAGTGCGGATTACAGCTGTGTGAAAGATAGAATCATCCGCAACTGCAGCAGAACTATTGACTAAGTAGAAATCCTGCGGGACGCAACAGCAGTACAGGATTACGTCATCGATAAGCCAAGCGTCTAGCCAAGCAGTTCCTCCACAAAACACCATCTACGCATCCTCCATATTCATGTCACCCTTTCCGCCGTGGTTGCTCTGTGTCAACAGGGCGGCTTCGCTGTGCTACATGCACCAGACTTTGTGATGTAATCCTGCGACACAGAACCCTGTCATGTCTGTTAGCTTTAAAATGAACATTAATGCATGAAAACTAAAGTCTATCACTGCAACCATCACGATTCATGTTCACAAAACAACCATTTTAAATCCGTGTAAAGACCTGAAGACGCCAAAATGTCTGGATTCATGTGAAAAACCAACATTTGTTTGTGTTTATTCACGAAAGCGGGATGTTTTTTCTTTTTTTTGATCAACTGATTGGTTGACTTATTTCTGCACTAAAAGTAATGCATAAGACATGTCATGAGTATGGTTCATAAGAATCCAAAAGCCTTTATTTTAATAGTAAGCTCTCCGTACAACAAAGTCAGAAGTGCTGCTTCTCTAAAGGCACCTTGGGGTTGAACATTTAGTTCGATACAGGCGTCGGTGGGGTGACAACAAGCAGAAATGTTTTATACAGTCATGACAGAAAGCTGGATAACTTATGGAAACTTAAAGTTCAAAGGGCTCATGTGCATCATTTTTTCCAGTAGTACTCGATGTACTCGAGGTGTACATGACAATGAAAGACAAGACGCGGCTTCCATTTTGGTCCCCAGTCGGTTCTGAAGACAGCAACATGGCAGACTCAGAAACAAGGAAAAAGTTGAGTTTTATCGTTTTGCTGATTGAAGGTTTGTGAATTCTGAGGCTCTCGAGTTTGTTTGCTTGCATTAAGTTAATCCATTTGGCCTCCTGCTGTTAAAATCCACCACACGAAGCCGACGCATGAGTGCAAATCTAATTAAGGAGGGAAAAGTGACGGAAAGGTGAAGAATCTGTACGTCTAACCTGGGAAAGTAAACCGTCTTGGCTTTCTGCATCAAGCGAAATGCCGCCATGTGTCGAAAGACACAGAAAGCCAAAAACTTTTGGATAAAATCAGATTAAAATAAAAATGTGAAGGGCAACTCCATAACTGAATAGTCAGGGTGCAGAACACATGGACACAAATTCTATGAACAATGAGCCCCTGATTCCATTCCCATGTCATCCCCCAACCTCCCTCCCCCCCCTTCACCGCTGCCACTGTCAAGTAAATACATTTTTTTTAAAATTCCCTCCCCCCTCAAAACTAAAAAGTCATTTACATATAGGTGCATCTTTTCACATCACACTCAAACTAACCAAACTTCCAAGAAAACACTCTAAAAGAAGATTCTGTGCTGCCAGGGTACAGAATGTGCAGAAGACGTGCCCATGCGCACAAGGAGTGTGCAAAAACAAGGGGCAGAAAGGCTCCAGCTGGCAATAAAAATACATTAAATTCACATATTAGGGCATTTCAAGGTGATTTAAGTTCTAATATGTTCATGATTTTTATACGAAAAGGCAACAAGCAAGTTTTTTAAAGCAAATTCAGCTCAAACTTCTATTAGTCGCTGCACAAGTCCAAATTACAGATCAAGAAATGGCGGAAATGAAAAAAACTGTTTTCCTCTCTGCATTTGAATGATCTTATTAGCATTTATTCAGCCAAATGTCAAAATGCAAAAGTTGCATTTGGGGAAAAAATTAACAAAAAAAAAACCTTCCTGTTCTCACCTGCATGCAACTAGTTAAAGAAAACTGAACAAAGAAACACCTACAGAGCATTTCTAGGCTCCATTTGGTTCAAGTCAGCTGCAAAAATGTGCCATGTGTGAAAAACTGTGAAGGTAGCAAACAGCTGTTTTAGAGACGCCTTCCCCTTTAAATTACAATTACAAAAGCCACATGGGCCGACACCTCACTACTACTACTATCATCATTATTATTAAATCCCATTTCCTCATTACTGACTTCTTTCAGGCCATCTGAAAGCAAACGGTTCTGTCAATGCATTTCGATTTCTGCAAGACCGAACGGATCTCAATCAGAAACAGCTGATCGCAAATATTTCGATTCTTCAAACGGGAGAAAACACATAATTTATTTAAACCAACCTCTGCTTGTCAACACGTGGTGGGAAAAGAATGCATTTGTTTAGTTTCTCAAAAGCGAGAATTTAAAAAAAAAGTGACACATGGCAACTTTCACCATAAAGACAAGACTTTTTCTTTAAATTATAGACGCAAAGCAGCTGATCGCGCTTCCTCCTCACCGGCTTTAAAAAACAAAATTTAAAAAAAGTTCCAAATGAAACGCTTACCTGAGGATGCGGCCGGTTCGGATGAAGGTTCTGGGGACGGAGAGCCTGCGCGTGGATGATTAGTACACTGTGTTCAGCAAGTCTTTATAGGAAGCCGGTTCTATATG